TTCATAGACAAGTAGGCGATCAGCCATTTGTATTTGACATGCCAATGTTTACCTTCACCGTAAAATTGTTTATTGTGAACATAAATAGAGAATGTATTGGTGTATTTATGGAATTTAATCGCATCACACCACTACTGTTATTTCTGTATCTGACGCAAAGGATAATCGTGTGGAAAGTTTGAATGTCCTTCAGAATATGTTAGTTCAAATTTGAAATATGTTGTAAAGAATAATTTCATACCAAACATTGATCAACAATCTTTTTATTGTTGTTTTATTATAACTTTATTAAATATGAATTAAATAAGATATGATTATTAATTAAATTTTAACAAAATTATGAAACTTGACTAGAATTTCATTTATATAAGTTATTGTATTTGTGATACGTTTATGCAAAGTTTTTTAGAAGTTAAATAATCAAGGAAAGTTGTATAAATGAATTAAGTATTACCAAATATCATAATCGAAATCTAGGCGGTTTGCCTATCGTACCCGTATATAATTAATAAAATTATACAATTTACAAAACCGTAATTATTTAAGATTGCAAATTAACGCCAGGGTCATATTTTGTCTCTTGCCAAACATAATACTATTTTATAGTCATTTTAAGTATTTAGACCAACCAGTTTCAAAATTACGAAAATAATGTTGTTGTCATTATTGTATAATGTATAGTGCAGTTCACACATTTAAGTGTTTTAGATTGAAACATTGGTCACTTTATTGGACTTAAAAGGGTTTGAAATATGGAGTAGAAATAGTCTTTGAAAATGTCCAAATTAAGGGGCATGAAATCTGAGACTTTGAGTGTGTTCCCAGCTAACACGTACGCGTCAAGGCTGACATCGGGGATGCGTGCGCGCATTACCTTAAAAAACGATTTTTGTTAAACGATGGATGCATAACAATATTTTTATTTATATCGTACTTTTTTATCGTAGGTTTGAAAATTTATAAAATGATTGCTAACTCAGTTAAAAAAATAATTGATGCTTTTACCAGATTAACCGCATATTTTCCCGCATTTCAGTGTATTTAAAATGTACGATAGTTGCGTAAATAAAATAAAATATTCTATATTTCTCTGAAGTTTTAACTTCTCAAATAAATGTTTTTACTGGTTAACGGTATTTAATGGAGATACCACTATAAAATTAATAAATTATTTATTAAATATTTCAGTCCTAAACCGTTGACTTTCAGCAACACTGAGTGGTAAACGTATATTGGGTCTAACTGTTTCAGGAAGGCTGATCTTAAGAAAGAAAGAAATAAAAGAACATGAATCGACGTGTTGTCCCACGACCTATGACGTACCCGCCCAGGGTATGGAATTTAATCCGTAAGAAAACTGTTTTAAATCCTTAAAACAATTTGTTGATTCATACTACCAAAAAAGCTGAAAATTTATCATTGCAGTCTAATGTTTTAAGGCAAAAAAGTACAAAATAATGATAATATTTATTTGGTCTAAAGTTAAACAAAGGTTATTGCTATTACTAACAATTCGTGAGTCAAAAGAGGAAGGCTGGCGTTAATTGAAATGACTTTCTTTTGTGAAATGAAACCTTCCGCATTCATAAATAAATATCGAGAGCCTTTGTGAGAGAAATCATTTCCTTAACCGTCTTTTGTTTTTTTACTGATGTGTTCTGCGGTTAACATGACGCTTGATTAATGATTCCTTCCTTGGAATATCTTAAATTATAGCTATAATATAATAATTGCGTTTTAATTGCTTTTATCATCACCATTAAAAGAGTGTACAACTGCTCATCTGACCATTTCCTGACATGTCATCGATTTGTCGAAGCCTTTGGGTAAGAACTAAGCGAAGCTATGACTTTGTTTGGTCAGAATCAAATATTATTTTTGATATACGGAAGGTACTTATCACAAGTATTTATTTACTCAGATATAACGGTATTCTAAAAAAACGTGTGTGTACTTATGACCACGCGTTAGACGTTATACTTCTTTGGCGTAATAATTTTCTTCGAGCAGGGACGTTTCTCTCTTCGAATTGCATTTTTCTTGTCATTGTATCATTGTATCAAATTGGAACGGGGTTTCTCGTATAGAAATTATTATTTTGGTTTAAATAATCATGACTCTGAAGAACACTACGCCATGACAGACAATGCAACTTGTCGATAAATCAGAGCAAGCGCTAACTAGGGGCCTAGAACAAGACTGTTTTACCAACCTTTGAACAGATATTCAGGGTGTCGGTTTTTTGTGACGGTGTGCGGGTGTCAGTTTTTGTGACGGTGTGCGCGCGCATCGTAAAAATTTACTCTAGTAATTTTTCCCTAACGCACCAAAAGCAGTATAACTTCAAAAATATTCATAGGTTCCAACACGCGACCTAATGATGACAATCGCTGAACCACTAGACTATCATTGTTATTCTATTTAATAGTAATTATTGCTTCATTCGACTCGAAACCTTTGCGTTTAAATAAAGAAGATAATATACGCTTTAATTTCCTTAACGTTCTGACATTTAGCTGTAAGAAATTACAAATTTACACCTCACTTAACCGAATTAATTTTGGAGTGGAAGAAAATAGCGCAATTAGCGAAGACTTCTTATTAACGAGTTGAAATACTTTAAAAATAACTTAACCATCTCCAAACTGCGCTTAATAAATAAAATGAATATATTTCTTATTTGACTTTATATAGGTATACTTAAGAGCAGTGTTGGCCTAGTGGCTTCAGCGTGTGACTCTCATCCCTGAGGTGGTAGGTTCGATCCTCGGCTGTGCACCAATGGACTTTCTTTCTATGTGCGCATTTAACATTCGCTTGAACGGTGAAGAAACATCGTGAGGAAACCGACATGTCTTTCGACCCAAAAAGTCGACGGCAGGCTGATCACCTATTTGCCTGTTCGATTGAAAAATGATCATGAAACAGATTCAGAAATCTGAGGCCCAGACCTCTTGAAAAAGCTATGCACATACAAAAAATATATGTCATAGGAAACCTCCTTGTTCGGGTTCTTTGAAATTAAAAAGGTACAGTAATTCATATATTTTTTTAAAGTACATTATGCATTACTATATTTCGTGTTTGAAGAGATCGCTAATTAGTGACAAGGCTATCCGATATATAATTTCTACTATGTATTTAAATACTATGTAAAAGTGTAGATAAGATTAAATATGGTGGTTGTTACTTTCGGCTTGTATATACATGTTTTTGTATCTTCTATTATAATAATAATAAAAAATAGAACTCTGTTAAAATACTTACAAATGATCGGAATTTAAAGGATAGAAACAGATACTGTTAACAATGGTTATTTATTTATCAGGAAAGAAATAAATAGAAGACCATAAAATATTACCTAAATATTATTATTGTATTATATATTAGATGACAAAACATCAATTTCATAATATGTAAGGTCATTCTTTTGAACGTACATTGACCTCAAATATCTCCTCTTTCGTTAGGAATTTCAAATAAATTTTTTACAGCTATTTACTCGTGCATTTGTTTTTCGAAAACCGGGAAAATGAAATGAAATGGTTTGAATTTTTTTCTTTGTGTCACTATATTTATAAAATGGAAAACATGAAATATCGCGTTATTTTGCGAGTTCCACCGTGGTACCAGTGCTGCAGAAACGGCTCGAAGGATTAATGATGTGTATGGCGGCGGTGTCGTAAAAGAAAACAGTGCGTTTTTCGAGCTTCAATTGGAATGTCTAAGACATGTACCGGACCTTGCTTCAAAAGTGACTCTGATGGGGCAGTCGAAACCGCCTTGAGAGCTATTGATTTGGTTTGGTTCTATTGATTTTGGAATGTTTTTTTTAGTACCTATAGAGATCAATGAACCGTTAAGATAACAAAAGTGCATAGATGGCAATGGTACATTTACTTATACATACTTTGATTACTAAAATATAATCTATTAAAAAAAATAACTTTTTGTTCCTCCCATACAATACGCCAATTTCATATGTCAGACCCTAATATAAAGTATTGAATGTATCCTACAACACTTTCAAAGAAAAATAATAGTAATATACAATATCATGTTGTATGTTTTATTTAATTTTTAGTTTCGGCTAAATTGCACATAAATTAATATGGCTCAATAACATTGACACTATATATATATGTATATATACTCGCAGACCGGCCAAGCGTTGCTGTGGCTAAGGTTTTTGTTACATTACATAGTAGTAAACTATTCAAGGGAGACGGTAGGAGAACACCAGTCATGGGGACCACCATGCTTTTTTGGTGGTTATGCCATTAAATTGTAGCTTATGTGAAACGTTGGTACTTTCAACACAGCGCCATCTGTTAGAATTATGATAATAAACAAATAATTTGTAATAAAATAAAATTGCGGGTATAAATTAGGTGTAAGCTATCCTATCTTTTAAGTTAGATCAAACTTCACACGGTGTGCAAATTTGATTGATATCGGTTCGGTAGTTTAGGAGTCCATAGCGGACAAACAACGTGACACGTAATTTATATATATTAAGATATATATATATATATATATATATATATTTCTCTTATATTTCGATTGAAGTGTATAACATAAATCCTTATACGCTTACAATGTCCTGAATATAATATGTAGTATTATACATAAGTAACGTTGGTACGCTTTCTTGCCATAACTACATTTGTTTTCTAACCTATGTCTAAATTGTTAATAACGCTCTATAATGTATAGTTTAAACAAATCATTGTTATAAATAATGACCACATTCATTTTACAAAAACCATTTTAATTTTCGTAAAATAGGCCTCTCACAAAGGTAGACAATACATTAATTAAGCCACGAGATTTTAGTTATGATAATATAAAAATATTTTCTCTTTTATTTTTATAAAATGGAACATACAGTGATACTGATTCCAAAAATAAGAAAAAATGATCGGTGTCTTTGCGACAGTATTTCTCACTGCGTATTTCACTCTCGCGTCTTTAGATGCTCTTCAGTGAATGTGAAAACTTTATTCATTACATGTATGAAGTGGGAAGGAAGGTACTAAGGAATACGTGACTGGTAAGGGTGAGCTTAATGCAAGAACTCCTCGGCTATTAGATGTATGTAGAAGTAATTCAACTTTAATAGAAAAACATTATTTAAAAAATCACCTTGGTCTATCTCTTTAATTGTGAGTAAATAAATGTATTAAAGCTATCACACCTTTTTACGCATTTGTAACTGGAGTACCGTGTTCTTTTGTCCCTCATTTTTGTTCTTTAGGGGGCACAATACACAAGCTGTTATTACTTTGCAGTATTTTTTGGTTACACGTTTTTGATTTACGTTAGTCATATTTACATGTTTCGTTTTTGAATATCATTATGATTTGAAGATCCCACTAGATTTAAATGTTATTTTATCTTATTTGTTTTTTTAATAATAAATTCTACGTAAAAAATAATTAAATTCGCGTTCAAGATTTTTTATTATTGCTCACAGTTATGGATAACTAGTTTTTTTCACGAAATTGAGTTCATTAGGCGCTAACATATTTTATAATTTGGATAAGTATTGATAAAAAATAATTTCGTAAATCATAAAACAAGTTTGCAATAAATTATTTCGCAGAGAAACGTTTAATTAATTCAACTTTAAATATTCCAGTTTTTTGTAACCAATATACGAATCAGAATAAATGGTTATAATAAATAGTAACGAATTGTGATGATTTTGGTGTTTTTATCTCAGTTCTCAAAAATAATTTCCTAAAAATGTTTCTTAATATTTAGTCGACGAGCTTTAGGAATTAAATCAAGATAAGAAGCCTTAAAACAAGCAATTATCTATACCTACTAATATATTATTGTAAATAAATAATAAGATACTTATAAAAAGGGAAAAATTGTCGCGGGTAATCTCTGGATTTATTAAATCGATTTTGATAATTCTTTTACCAAAAGAAATCCACGTTATTTGTGAGTGTCATAGGCTATTTATTAAACGAAAATACAGTTGCGGTAGTAATTTATATTCTACCGTCAAAGTAAGTTTATACATATAATAATGGTGTGAAATAGTTTCGAGAATCAATTATTATTTAAGGTTTGATTATGAATATCTTCTGCCGATAATTTAACACTCGCTATTTACTAGGAATTATGATATATTTTGCGAGTTATCGATGGACATCAAAACAGTATAAGTTGTTTAAAGTGATTGTGTATCATGTAACCCCTAATGACTAATGAGGCTTATAGGAGAATTCAGTATCGTTTTAATTTCATTGCTGCCAGCAATCTATCGTTTTCGCGCGAGGTTGTTATAAACCATACGATTATTAAAATCAACTATATCCTACAATTTCGCCACATGGAAAGGTGACGGTTTATTATAAACATATTTGTGATTAACGCTCAAATTTTATTTATTGTTTTACTGTAAATGTTGAGCGGAAGAATCTGAACGTTTCTTGTACAACGAGTTTCACTTTCTCTTTCGAATTTACTTTCTAAGGCATTACGTTATCTGTATGTATACAATAGTAAAGTTTATGCAGTGATCAAGAAATACCCTTAGTGCTAGCAGATTAAAAAAAATAACCTGGAAATGTGAAGATTTTTTTTTTGTATGAAACAGAGTCTAACGGTGCTGAACATAATTAAATAACTGATATAGCGGTAATTAAAAATATAACTGTATCTTTGTAATTCCAGTTCGGTTAGATTGTATGCATATATTTGATTGTACTTAATTTTTAGTTTTAATTTCATGAAAATTATTAATGGTTACTATTATTATTTAAATTTTGTCTAACATCTTAAATCCATAAACTGTTGTTTTCTTTAATTTGGATTTTTTAAATTAAAATTGTTACAAGATAAACACACAAATATAAATGTATCGAAACTATAATGCTTTACAAAAAGATTTAAAGAAGAGAGTAAGTACAAACTTAAAATAGGTTTCAATGATATTTGCATTTAAATAAAAAAAACAATATCTGGCTGTTGTCGGAAAAACATTTTTAACATCAAAGGATTAAAATAAACTATTTGTAATATACTGATGTATTGATATATATTTAAATTGATTTAAGTGTTTTATTAATCGAAAACGGTGGAAGAAGAAACAATAATCAATTATTCTAGACCGAATAAAAAAATTATATAATTTTATTTTCTACCTTTATAAATAAAAAGTACCCTACCTTTTTTAGAACTGACAGTATAACAAACATCTTCGAAGAGTATATTTACGGGTGGTCTTTTAGCCATACGGTTCAGAGCCTTAAGAGTAGACCCAGCTCTCTCCAAAGCCGCTGGAGTCCACTGATCTTCTTGAACTTGGTTTACTAATTGCATTTCCACTGGAGTATGGGCCAGAGAGGCACCCACAATAGCGCGACGTACTAGCGGTATATTCGACATTTTTGAGAAATTTTAACACATATTATAATTATCGGTCTGTTTTACGATAACTGCGCGTGATACGAAACGCGCGAACTGCTCCGTTTGCCACCCGCAAATGCGGCTGTGCGTTCTTTGACCGTTTGCATTCATATGACACTATCATTATTTAAAATACCGGTAGATCTTGTTTTAATATGAGTTTTTGATTTTTTAAACTAAAAAGGTTATTAAAAAAATAAACTTTTTGTGTTTTTTTTTACTGCTTTTTTAAAAGCAATTTGCAAAAATCTCGATATAAAATATAAAATTCTCGTGACGCGGTGTTTGTGCTTAAACTCCTCCGAAACGGCTTGACCGATTCTCATGAAATTTTGTGTGCATATTGGGTATGTCTGAGAATCGGACAACATCTATTTTTATCCCCCTAAATCCCCCTAAATTTAAGGGTAAAATTTATTGTATTTTTAAATATTTTTTTCTGTTTTTATTTTTTTATGATACAGCATTAAAAAATACACACAACCCCTAACTTTCACCCCTCTACGATCAACCCCAATTTTTTTATTATAAATGATATACATGGCAAAACGACGTTTGCCCGGTCAGCTAGTATGTAATTTATATAATTTATTATTGCAAACCTTTTTTTTAATATCAAACAACAAATCTATGGATCAACTTTTTTACCATAGTGACGACATTTTTTATATACAAGAAACGGTAAACATTGTGTAAAATACGGTACAACATTTCTATTCAATTTCTCTGTGAGCAAACAATACAAAGAAATCAATATAAAATGAAAAGTTTCGTAATTACGCGCCGCGTCAATCGAGTGTTTGGGAAATTATTTTCCAAGGAAACTTGATTTAGTGCTGTACCAGCAGGCAAACATCGTAAATCATGAAATCAACGAACAACGAAAAATCTCAATAATACCACTTCTTTGAAACGTGCTAAGATTTTTTCGTTATGAGAATGATGAATGGTATAGGAATGGCTTGTGTGTGACTACTGATTAAATAATATGGACTATTAAATTTATAATATATAGAGGAGTGATTAATAGAATAGGTGCTCTGAAAATCCTACATTGAAACCCGGTTATGACCATTGCAATTAACACTTCTACGGTGAAAAAAAACGGCCGTCTCCGGTTACAGTACTTTTTCTTCTCTCTCTGTTTCTTTGGGTTAAGGCTGTCATGAAAAGAGATAGATATTCAATTCGATTTATTTATTGGAACGAAGTTCCTTATCGCGCGTTGTGAAAGGGGGCTAGACGGAAAAAATTCTTACGAAAAGTTGTCACGACACTTTTTTGCTATTTGCTATTATAATACACCGGTTCTCGTCCGATCACCGAAGTTAACCAACGTCGGGCGAGGTCAGTACTTGGATGGGTGACCGCCTGAGAACACCTCGTGATGTTGGCTTTTTTTGTAGGGATAAGAAATGAAAATTATTTTTGGAATCACTTTACTAAATTAGTCTTGTTGGAACGAAGTTATCGAGCGTTGCGAAAGGGGGCTAGACGGAATAAATTAAGACAAAAAGTTGTAACGACACTTTTAGCTATAGTTGTTATATTTAACATTTTCGATTTGTCTATCGCCAACGTCCATACCACGTTGAATACACCGGTTCTCGTCCGATCACCGAAGTTAAGCAACGTCGGGCGAGGTCAGTACTTGGATGGGTGACCGCCTGGGAACACCTCGTGATGTTGGCTTTTTTTTTTCGTCGTAAGATTGGTGTCGAGAAAATCTATCATACTGTTATGATACCAATTAACATATAAATTAATCGAAAGGAATTTCGTTCCATCCGGGTGTCCCTTGACACCTCTAAAGTTTTTTTTTATGAGTAAGATGGTTTTTTTATAAACATGCATGACTTTAAGTAAACGCTTTATCATCTTTGTTATAACTAATATAAGGTTAATAATAATAGCCTTTTAATTTAGATACTTTTACATTTAAACACATTTATGTTTCAATTTTCTTTTAGGTATCTGTGCCCTATTTTTCCAAATATCGCCATTCCTCTCTGCACTTAGCCACACTCTGCCATGTTAGGTTAATAAATTCATTTACTTTTCGTGTCCTTCTTTCTTTTATATTGTTAGGATGTTTGATGTAAATAAATAATTTTTGTAAGCATATATACAAAAAATATGCAGATAACGAACATTATATTTTAAAGTTAATTAGATTCACACTCTTAATTTAAAATAATCGAAAACAGTGAAAGGTTGAAACAAAATTTTCATAAATAAAGTTTTTGGTGAAGTTTTATGCAGCAGTATTATTATTTTCATAAAGAAGTAAAATTTGCAAGCTTTACTTTACGAGGTCGTTTCTTCTCTTTGGTTTGGTCGTTTCATACAAATGAAAAATATATAAATAATTATTTTTTATACACATTTCAAACTAAACATTTACAAAGCCTTCATTATTATTAACCCTAAAATCCAGGGTTATTAACCCTTCCATCCTAATTTTATTATGTAGTAGACTATGGAAATTATATTTATCAGAAAAATGTATTGTCAACGTGTTACAAACGCCACGGACATGATAAAAGAATTTCTTTCGTTCGTAGCGGGGAATACGTTGTACACGAATAAAATTATTTTCTTTAAACAACAAAAGCTAGAATTTTGTATTCTCACCATTACCTAAGAATGAATGAAGATTTCAATCATTCCGACTACACAGTTTTTCATACAAATGCTTTTACTCAGTAAGGCATCTAACACACTCGCGTTGTACACTATAAGCCATTAAACGTATTAAGATAAAATAAAGATGCATATTATGGTTAAAACCACACCCCTATCTTTATTTCTCTACTAATAATAAAAAAAAGAAATAATCAAAAAATACTGGACTGATTTAAAAAATTGTTTCATTATTAGGATTCTACATGCTGAGTAACAGACTATATTTATTTCATTTCATACATCATACATATATTTATATCCAGCCGTGCGAAGCCGGGACATGCCGCTAGTTATTATTTTACTATATAAAAGCTAAAGATTTTGTTTGGTTTCAATAAAAAAAGGTTTTTGTTTGGATTCTTCGAGTCATATTTATAATCGCTCAACTACTTACTCATTTAAATCAGTCTAACGGCACTCTTAAACTAATGTACTCTTTCGTCTCTTTATGGTCAATTGTTTGTACGCTGTGATGAAGAGAGATAAAGAGAGTATGTTAGTGAAAACTAAACATATAAAATTGGTGTGTTATTATAAATAATTTAGACATATGCCGATATATGATAGCTTTGCTGATTGCGTTGCTGGCCTAGTGGCTTGAGCGTGCGCCACTCAACCCTGAAGTCGTGCACCAATGTGTGCACAATTGTACCAGTGCACTATTAACACTCGTTCGTATGGTGATCAAGACATCGCAAGGAAACCGGCATGCCTTAGTGCTAAAAATCGACGGCATGTGTGAAGCACATACGATCATGAAACAGATACAGCAATCTGAGGCCTTGAGGCTGTATGCCACTCGTTCAATAAATGTTCGATATTTGATTAAATCTCGTAATCCACAAGTGTAGTCGTAGCGTAAGGGGAATACAAATAATAAAACGGTAACTGAGTTGTCTGAAAGTTGCATTCACAGAATTTATGAGTCGTAAAATTGTGTTTTCGACGATTCCATCTTACACATAATAGATTTGACAGAGATAAACATAAATACTTTGCTGTCTTTATTGTTATCTAACATTCGTACTCAGAGTTGATCTTACGATTACTTATAACATTTATTTAACATAAAAGGTTTCTACATATCTACTGCTTTTAACCAACCACGAAACTAAAAAAAATTGTAGCTACCCTCAATCGATGCCCTTGATTTGAGAACTGGCAGTAAATGTAAAATTAGAAGCATTTAATGTATATTTCTTTTTTGACGTTCATAAGTGTATATTGTACCTATAATAGTACGGGAGGTAGCAACGTTTTCGAGAAAGAATTTCAGGTCAGCTGATTTTGTGATATGTCTTCCTTCTTGCACTTTCGGTTAGAGTCTGGGCAATCTGGCTGGCGGTAGCGGTTGCGTTCATTAGTGCGCATCCTATCTGTCCAGGTAATAATCCTGGATTTAAAAGCATTTTAAGAAGCGTAATTTTTAATTTTTCGTTTTTAAATAAGTCTACCTGACATATTTTTTTTATTTCCAGACATTTTTCACATTGCTATGTGTCAGACGCGATTTTAAGTTTTTTTTTTATAAACATTTCAAAGTATTTTAGAATGTCTGTAATTTTAATATTATGTTATTTAAATATAAGAAAAACTAAAAATGTATTTGCCAGACATTAATTCGATTGTTAAGTCTTGAATTAAAATGAAAAAGTATATAAGAATAAATGATTTTTGACTTTGACGTATGCTTAATAATATACCACTACAGAAGAGTTGTTCAAATTAATACCTTAAGCTGAGTGTTATCATCGGATGTCGAGGCAAAATTCAACCATATAACCTCGGCGTCCGTCGCTTCACAACTGAGCGTTTTTTAAAGCATTGCTTACCGCTTTCCATCGCTATATAGAACCAGTTGCTCGTCGAGGTATTTTCGAAACAATACGACTTTCGAATCAATAGGGTCCTTGAAGAAAAGAGCATACCAATTCTTAAAAGGCGCGACCCCTCTGGCATTAAACATCAGGTGAGCTTCCTGACTGTTTGCAGGGGCCAAAAAATAAATAATCTTAATATATATATTTCTTGTGTGCGTGTGTATGTGACTGAACTCCTCCTAAACGACTGGACCGATTTTGATGAAATTTTTTGTGTGTGTTCAAGGGGATCTGGGAATGGTTTAGATTCACAAATCAGCCCGGCAGATGGCACTGCAGTCGGTACTTTCATACTTTGCTTAATATCCTAATCGCTTTAAATATCATGCAGGACAACGTCTGTGGGGTCCACTAGTTTTTCTATAAAAAATATAAATAAGAGAAGAATATTATTATAACATAAATAAATCTATG